ACCCATTGGCCGGTGTTCGCCAAGGCGCGCTTCTCATTGGCCAGCGTGGCTGTCGAGGCTCCCGGGGCGCGCGGTGGAGGCGGGACTTCCGTTCGGCGCTGCCTACGAAGGGCTCGAAAGCAAGCGAGACCCGGGTGGCCGGTGATGGCTGCGGGGTGGTCCAGATTGGGCCCGGCTCACCGTGGCGGACTGAAGGCGGTGGTGGAGAAGCCACGCACCTTGTCGAGCGTAGATTGTGTGCCCGCCCTGTCTGTCCTGTCGACGCCGTCACCGCCCTACAAGGTAGGAATAGTCAGTGCGCCTGGGCTATGGGGTCAGAACCCGGGTTCGAATCTCGGCTGCGACGTTTCTGCACTACGGGCGGCTTGACAGGGCCTGCGGTAACTCGCTGGACCACAGTTTTCTTATCTGGTGTGGTGTGGAGGCGGGGCATGGGACGTGGTAGGCGTTTCAACAGTGTTGACTATTAGAGCGCCTGGGTTCCCAGAAGCTCAGCCTAACATTCATTCATTAAAATGTTATTGAGCATCTACTGTGTGCCAGTCACTGTATGGGCAGTGAACAGACAAAAATACCTGCCCTTATTGGGCTCGCGTTTTAGGCCAGCGCTGTCCAGTAGAAATAAATGTAAGGAAGCCACAAATGTTGGCCACATGCATGATTTAAATTTTCTAGTAGCCATGTTAAAGGTGATGTTAATTTTAATAATGTGTTTTGTTTAACCCATCTTATATCCAGAATGTTATTTTAACGTGTAACCAATATAAAAATTTATGAGATCTTTTACTTTTTCCCCCCTTCACACGTCTTTGAACACTCACAGCCCATCTGAAGTTGGATTGGCTACATCTCAAGGGCTCAACAGCCACACGTTGCCAGTGGCTACTGTGTTTGACGGTGCAGTGCTATATGTGGAGGCAGAAAAGAAATCAAGGGATTCCGCATCAAGTGGTGAAAAGTGGTAAAAAGAAAAGTAAGTAGGGGAAAGGGCAGGGGAAATGTGGGGGTAGCAATATGAAAGAGAGTGGTCAGGAAGGTTGAGAAGATTGCATTTGCAGAATGCCTGGAAGGAGTTGAGAAGACTGAACAAAGAATTATGCCATTCATTGTTTAATGCAGTATTGGTCCAGTAGGACTTCCTGTGCTGATGGGCATATGTTTTATCGGCACTAATTTAGTAGCTACTAGCTCCATGTGGCTTTTGGTCACTTGACATATAGCTGGTGCCACAAAAGAACTGAAATTTTAATATATTTAATTGAAATTTAAATAGTCACAATAGCACCAGTGGCTTCCACAGCAGATGACATAGATTTGGGGAATGGTGGCAAGTGCTTTGAGCTGAGTGTGTGTATTGCGTTCTAAATGCTTTTGTAGGTTCTCCTGTGTAATTCTTGAAATATCTCTGTGAGAAGGGAGCACTAATGGTTGTCACCATGAAGAATGAACTCCTTCATTCATTTATACTTTATTGTTGGCATTAATAGACTATTTTTTAGAGAACAGTTTTAGATTTACAGAAATAAGAAGGTACAGAGTTACATTTTCCCACACCCAGTTTCCCCTATTAGTTACATCTTTTGTTAGTATGATACATTTGTTACAATTAATGAACCAAATTGATACATTATTATCAACCAAAGTTCATAGTTAATTTAATTATTTAATAGCCTTTGTTTTCACTTAGTGTCCTTTTTCTCTGCCAGAATCCCATCCAGGATACCGCATTACATCTAGTTGTTTCCCCAGTGGTTCCCCCCCTTCTCTTTTTAAAAAAATATACTTGATATAACATTGTATTAGTTTTAGTTGTGCAATGTAATGATTTGATATATGTATATATTGCAAAATAATCACCACAGTGAGTTTAGTTAACATCCATTACCATGCCTAGATACAAATTTTTTGTTTTTGTGATGAGAACTTTTTTTTTTTTTTTTTTGTGATGAGAACTTTTAAGGTCTATTCTCTTATTTGTCCTGTCTCTTTAGGCTCCTCTTGGCTGTGGCAGATTCTCAGACTTTCCATGTTTTTGATGACCTTGACAGTTTTGAGAACTGGTCAGATATTTTGTAGGACTGCCCTCTATTGGAATTTGTCTGATGTTTTCCTCATGATAAGACTGGGATGATGGGTTTCGGGGAGGAAAACCACAGAGGTAAAGTGGTCATCTCATCACATCCTATCAAGGGCACAGGCTGTCAACATTATCTTTGCCTGTTGATGTTGGCTTTGATCACCTGGCTGGTGAACTATCCATCAGGTTTCTCCACTGTAAACTCACCGCCCTCCTCTGCACCCCCATTCCTTACTGTATACTTTGGAAGGAAGTCACTATGTGCCCACATTTGAAGAACAGAGAATTATATTCCCCCTCCTTAAAGGTGGATCCCTACATAAATTATTTAGAATTCTTCTGCATGGGAGATTTCTCTTTTCTCCCCCACTTATAGATTTATTCAATCATTTAATTATATCAGTATGGCCTCCTGGATATTTTATACTCTGGGTTTTAACCTAATACTACTTTATTTTATTGCTCAAATTGTTTTGACTTTAGCCATTGGGATCTCTTCCATTTGGCTCCTGTGACGCTTTGACACATTCCCATCAGTGTGTTTTGGCTTTTTCATTTTGCTTTCTTTGGAGCACTTTCTTATTCTCTGGTACTATAAGATGCTCGTTTAATGTATTTCCTGCCTCAGTTCTAGAATCAGCCATTTGTTTGAGCCTGGTTCCCTTTATTAGACAATGGTGTTAGAAACCAAGATGTTAGCATTAGGAGTGCTTGTTGGTACAGGGGTGTTGTTTCTTTTAGGTCATTAATCCTTTTTAATTGCCTACAATGAACCCAGTACAAGTGCTCAGCGCTGGGGATACAACAGTGACCATGCCAGATATCGCACCTGCCCCGCAAGTGACAACTTGTGGGGACCAGCTTAAGAGGGCAGCTTCAACACCGACTAGCCCTTTTCAGAAAGTTTATGCTGGTCATGCTGTGATGGGCAGAATAACAGTGCCCCAAAGATGTCCATGTCCTAATCTCTTGGAACTTGTGACTATGTTACCTTACCTAGCAAAAGCAACTTTGCAGATCGGATTAAATTAAGTATCTGGAGATGGGGAGATTACCTGCATGAAACCCGTGTCATCACAAGGGTTCTTATAAGAGGGAGGCAGGAAGGTCAGAGTCACGGAAGGAGATGTGACAATGGAAGACACTGACATCAAGAAGTTAGTGATGTCGTCGTTTTGACGATGGAGGAAAGGACCACCAGCCACAAATTGCAGGCAGCGTTTAGAAAGCAGCTGGAAAAGGCAAGGAAACACATTCTTTCCTAGAACCTCCAGAAGGACTGTAGTCCTGCCAACACCTTGATTTTAGCCTAGTAAGACCAATTTCTGGCTTCTGACCTGATGTGATGGAAAACCATGACATCTGAACCATTTACAGGGCCCCATATGTGGGTGGGGTTATTTTGTGGACATAAGAAATGGGTTTGCTCCGCAAGCTTGACTCAGAGGTTGAGTATTGATCTATGATCCAGGAGATCAAGGTTCGATTCCGGGTCAGGGCACATGCCCTGGTTGCGGGCTCGATCCCCAGTGGGTGGCGTGCAGGAGGCAGCAGATCAATGACTTTCTCATTGATGTTTCTATCTCTCCCTGTTTCTTCCTCTCTCTGGAATCAATAAAGACATATTTTTTAAAAAAAGGAAAAAAAAATGGGTTTAAATCCCTAACAGAGCTGAGGCATCAAAGTGTAATGCTCATTCTGAGAACAGAAGCTTGGCAGACCCAAACAAGCCCAAAGAATCTTCTGGCGCTCTAGCTCTTTGGGGGCCCTACTTCAATCTGATTCCTCAAGTGCCAAGTATGTCAGTCTTATAGAAAACCAGGAAGCTTTATTTTTTCTTCTGCAGCTGAGTTTATTTTCAGGTTAGCAACAGTTTGGAATTCAATGTCCCTGATTAGTTCAGAACTGGAAGTACGACAGTAGTGGCTCCTTCAGGGCATGGGTCACCTGTGGTTCCTATTTCTGACCCGGAAAGCCCAGCCCTGGAGGGGTGCAGCAATGCAGGGTTTCCCTTCAGGAACTGATGTGCTGATAACTTCCCTAAGCTTCTGGGAAGTTTTGCTTGTTTGTAAAAGGCAGGTGGCACTGCCACCTCAGGAACACAAGTAAAGCAGGCACTGAGCAGAACATCTAACACACCAAGGCTGCTGTTGTATCAACAGGCCCATAAAAAAAGTTCTGTGGTTAGTGCCCCAGAGAGTGGGAAGAGCTCTGCTTCTTGACTTAGAATCATGGCTTCTTTCCCCCCTATTGCTTGGGAGTGGAAGGGAGAGAGAGATCGAGCCTACAACGGAGGTATGTGCCCTTGGCTGGAATTGAACCTGAAACCCTTTAGTCCCTGGGCCGATGCTCTAACCACTGAGACAAACCGGCTAGAGTGAATCAGGGCTTCTTGAACCCCACCTCCTGAGATAACGTGTTATACTGACCTGAGCAAGTTTGGCAAGTTTTGTTTTTCAGAATTATCTTTCTGGATCTGACCCATTACCCTTTGATTCCGGTATCTTTCTGGCAAGAACAGCAGTGGGCATTTTATCTCCCATAGGGTCAAAGATTAGAAAAGGCTTCACAGCTCTGATTCCCAGGGTCACAGAGTGGCCTGGCTGCTCCTGTTGTCCCAGAGCAATATGGATGGTGATCACTTTCCCTTCCAGGTGTTGTCACATTCCCACCCTCCTCATTCCTACCAGTAACTCATAGTAGCCAGTGTCACTTTTTAAAAAAAAAAAATAAATCTTTATTGATTTCAGAGAGAGGAAGGGAGAGGGAGAGAGAGATAGAAACATCAATGATGAGAAAGTCGTCGTCGATCAGCTGCCTCCTGCACGCCCCCGACTGGGGATCGAGCCAGCAACCTAGGCATGTGCCCTGACTGGGAATCAAACCCCGATTGCCTGGATCCTAGGTTGACGCTCAACCGCTGAACCACGCCCGACCGGGCTCACTTTTTTTTAAGATTTTTTTTTTAATCCAACTGTTCTTTTTCATGCCATACAAGTTCTCTTTCTTGCTTTATCTCTAAATATTTTATATGTATTTGTTGGGTTTTATGCAGTGCTTAAAAAAATTTTTTTTAAAGCAGAAATTTAATGGTTTCTAGTACATTCACAAAGTTGTGCAAACATCACCACTGTATCACTCCAGAACATTGTTATCACCTCCCAAAAGAAACCCCAACCCTTAAGCAGTCACCTGCTTGCCCCTGGCAACTGCTAATCTTTCTGACTCCATGGATATGCTTCTTCTGATCACTTTATATAAATGAGATCATATAATATGTTCCCCTTTGTGTCTGGTTTCTTTCACTGAGCATAATGAGCACTTTCCCCCCAATTTTTTCTTTATAAATGAGATGGAGGCTTCATGCTTATCAGTCATTGACAGGTGTTCAGTTTGCTGTGCAATTCTCCAGCCTTGCTCCTGGTCCAGCATCCCACGGGAAACAGGCCAGGGGCCCACACATTTGCCAGGTCTCCCTTAGAGGGACCTCTCACCTGCCCCCAATGTGCCAGGGCAGGAACACCAAGGATGGGTGCTCCCATTCCTGGCTTCTGCCCAACCCTGGCAACTCCCATACTCCATGTATCACAAAACTCTCAAACCTCCCAGCTCCTCAGATTGAAGATCCAAAATCACAGCCAGCAGCACTACTTGGAGCCTCCAGGCATACTAAACTCTGATCATGTGTAGCGAGTTTTCCAAGATGAACAAGCCAGGTGTTATCAGTCTACTGAAAGCTCACACAGGTTGATAAGAAAGAACCAAAGGAGCAAAGATCAGAAACATACTTCACAGGTTGGGGAAGAGAGTCAGCAAACATCAGTGTCTGCACAGAGTTGTCACAGTGGGGCCATAAGTGGGGGCTGGTCAAGGAGAAGATCATTGCAGTGCTGCCA